AATGACCTCCCTGAGCATAAGTTCTGAGGTCATTTCTGTGCACCTTGTTTTGTGTTCCTTGTATGTACTATATAACATGCCGCAGACTCACTGCTGGGTGTGTGTGTGTGTGTGTGTGTGTTTTATTTATTTGTAATACTGAAAAGTTGTTTAAGATTTCTTTAAAAAATATATATTTTTTCCTCTCCAGCCTGTCATGTGGGTGCATTTTAAATCTGTTCTCCCAGGGAAGAAATGCTAGCATTTGTATGCTTGTCTTACCAATGGCACATGCCCCTACAGTACTTAACACCGAGTTCTCCTGGGCACAGAATCGACCCTCGTGAGGAATTCATTGACAGTCCCAGCAAGCAACGCTGGCTGAGCTCTGCATTTGACCTCACCATCTTTGACTGCAGTTAGGTAGGCGAGTGCAATGGAAAATACCTTATTCACGGGGAGGGAAGCCAGGCTGACCTTGGAATAGGTCAGAAAAATCAACCCTGGTTGTGTCAGTCTCTGTGCTGACAACTCCGACTACTCCAGCATACAAACTGCTTTGTAGGAAATCTGCCTCTTCCTAATGTTCTCAGTTTCCAGGGACATTAAAAATAGAAGAAAGGAGCCAGACTCTTGCACTAGATAAATGGGGTTTCTTAGGACTTGACAACTGCATCTGGACAGCAAATCACCATTAACTTTACACAGCAGGAGGGAAATTCTTTCCCAGTTACCTGGAGCAACCTGGTAGAACTGCCGAAGAGCTTAACTGATCATTTTGCAATCTACCGTGGTTGGCATTGTGTGTACAGCCTCTGCTCATTAGGAGGCCTTAAACTCATGGGGGCAACTTCATCCCTGCAGGAACGCCAGGGAAGGCAGTGGAGTTACCCCCAGGATGAACTTGGCCCTGTGGATGCACATATTGTAGTGTAAGAGGTGAGCTCGCCTGTACTCTGAGCAAGGGTTTAAGGAAGACATGATCGTTCCAGCATTACAGCCCGGCTCGGTTGCCAAAGGCTTCTGCATACTGGAAAATACTGCATGGAATCGAACTCCTATGACACTTGACTGCCTTGGCGTAACGACCGAGGGCAGGAAATGAAAATGCAGTGGTTTGGGTTTTTTCTCACTGCATGTGGAGAAAATACCTGGCTAGGCAGAAACAGCTGGGCGCTACAGGCGTCAAAACCTCTGACCGTGTTAAGCTGTCAGTTGTCTTTAAGGGGAAGTGTCCCTGAACCACGAGGGGGGGGAGGGGGAATTCTCTTGCGTATTGAACAGGAACACATCAGACAGAATGATACCATCAGCAAGACGTTGAATGGGGGTGTGTGCGTGTGAGAGAGAGAGACTCTTATTTATCTTACACACATTTTATAAACACTAAGACAACCCAGCCATGGTTTAGTGGATTATCTCCTCCTCATTCTCCAGTTGGATTGTGTTGCATTTTATATATATATGTAGGCCTGGCCTTTCCATTTTATGTTTCATGTTATTGTACTTTAATTTTAATTTACTGGTATCTTTATTTATGTTAGGGCCTGACTGTCAAAGAATGTGTGTTTTTATTCCAAAGGGAGAGCTGTTTTGTAACTTGCAAAGTGTAACATTTTGCAAAGAAATGTCATTAAAATTTGGGAGCATTCATTTTCTTTCAGAAGGGACGTGTGCATGTTCCCTCTCCCAGAACGTATTTGCTTCCTTACTCAAAGAAAAGTTATTTTAGAAATGCTGCTTGGGTGAGTTTTCAACATGTAGTTCAAGGTTTGCCTTGTTAGTCTAAACACCCTGGATGTTTTAATTCCAAATCCTGGTCCCACCTGAGTCAATGGGCGTTTTGATATTGACTTTAGTATAACTAAAGTTTAACCCCTAGCAATCTTACACAACAGGTCCTGAGAACACTGTACCATGTGTCACCCACGCTGGCAGGATGTGGGACTGTGTACCCCCTCACCGAACAGGACAAGAATTTACTACTGCTACCGGGTAATGGAATTACTGCCTTAGCTCAAGTGGTGGAGGCACATGCTTTTAATAGTGAAAGTCTCAGGATCAAACCTGCTGATAGTATTTAAGGAAGCAGAACAGCTCCCACACTATCACACAGACCTAATCTGACCTAGGTCAAAGGTCCATTTATCATGCTGTGCCTAGGAGGAAGCAAATTCAAGTAGAATGTGATGGGGGAGGGAGAGTTTATACCTAATGGAATAATTAAAGAATTCTCCAAGGTTACAGTTTGAAATCCACTCCTTACAGCCTGGAAAATGCTGTGAGATCCAAATGCTAGAGCAGTACAAGGCACCAAGGGTTTGTTTTCCATTTGCTAATTGGTATTTTAGTACTGGGAAATCCACAAAGAGAAACTGATCCCAAATTGTTTCCAGCCCTTGCTCTATAAACTACCTGTCATCTCTCGGTAGAAGCATGAATTTTTTTTTTTTAAACTAAAATAATGGAAAATTGCAAGTCAGACCAAAATTCATACTTTTTTGCAAGATATGAATGACAACAGCGAGCTGAGACGATCATAAACAATCTCCGAACGGGAGATTTTTGTGGGTGTGAAAGTGTAGGAAGTGGAACTATTCATAGAGATTTTGCATGTAGTACTTGCATATATAAAATCATTCCAAGAATTGCCAGCTTGGGCACCAGCAGCAGTGTCATCTGAGGGAAGACGGAGTGTCTGCAAACACGCTGCTGAGTTTGATTTAGTCTTGGACGACTGAAGAAAAATAGATATTTCCATGAGACCCTTTCTTCATCCAGGATTGTGCAAAGCCTATAACATACCCTATAACTTTACAGTCTCAGAAGTCAAGTCATTTAAAAAAAAAATGCCCACAACAAGCCGGCTTCCAAGCCCCTTCCATGGTGGGGAAAACTGATTATCCCTCACGCTGTAGCATGGAACCCCTAGTTGTACACCTTCCGAGCCCCTAGCTCTGAGCAACAGCCACCCCTTCGCAGAGCCAGAGCCAGAAACCCGGTACATGACTGATACCTGCAAAGTGCAACGGTCAGACAAGATGCTGCTCCCACTGATGGGCCGGGCAAGTCGCTCAGTGACTTGAGCAGTACCGATCTAGCACCTGCTGCTGAGACCTGTCAGCACTTGTCTGTCCCATTGGAGTCCATGGGAACGGAAGGGGCTCAGTGCCTCTCCAAACCAGCCGCTCCGGCTCAGGCCCACTGTTAGAAAACATAACTGACCTTGGCCCAGGGTCTAGCGCACAAGTGGTACAGTAGCTATCTGTGCAAATACAGGTGTGAGTGATGTAGCTTAACTATGGTGATGAGGGGGATACAAAGGGTGCATGTGAGGAGGAGAACAGACATACAAGTGGAAATACTGCAGTTCAGAGGCCGTTCAGATATAGGGTACCCTCCAGGGCCAGCTCCAACTCCTGTTGGTCAGCCCCCCTAGATCAGTAGCAGCTGCCGATAGCAAAGGATGGGGATGAAGGTTACAAAGGCCACATGCCAGGGAATACTGAATGAGCTTTGAGCGGCTCAGAGGGCTGCATCATGCGGTCGGTTTAAAGGCAGAGGAAATTGATGCCAATGGGCACCTGAGCTTGTGAATGGCCAGATGGCGCTAGCCCTAAAGGGGGGGCTGGGGCTCAGAAGGGAGGGAAAAGCAAATGTGGATTTGATGACGGGCAGGGAGACGGGATGGGCTGGATCTCCTGGTCCCTGGACAATGAAGTTGGATCAACAGGAGGCTAGCAGGCCAGGACCAGCGTGACTCTTCTCCATCTAGGGCACTTCAATCAACTCGAGCACTGGCCATAAACTGGCTTCTGGGCCCCTCGCCTGATGCTGTGGGGGAACGTGAATCCAAACCAGCCCAACGCCCCCACAATGAAAGAACCCTTCACTAAAACATTTAAGATGGAAACTCAAAGCTAGTTGCCAGCATCTCTTTAAAACAGCTGTTTGCCACAATCAGAAGTCGCCACTTGCAATAACAGGGCTCCTGTGAGTCACTCCAGGGTCTTTCTATTCTTCTCAGAGAATTATTTTGCTGGGGCTATAATTAGGGTCCTACCAAGTTCACAGCTATGAAAAACGGACCATGAAAACTGGTCTCCCCCTTTAAATCTGGTCTTGTGGGTGCTTTTACCCTATACTACACAGATTTCATGGGGAGACCAGTGTTTCTCAAACTCGGGG